TAGTTTACTATAGCTTAAATTGTATTATACGTCAAGAGTATATGTGAATCATTAGCACACAAATTCAACAAATAAAAAAACCAAAAAGAAACATCTATTACACTTCCCAAAGCAAAGTTAATATGATTACTAAAATTAAAATGTTGTAAAAATATTGCTGCAACGATACATCAACACATGTATTTGTATCATTGTGTTTTAGAATGTGGACCAAGGTTTTATGGCATTGACTGTAAGCAGACCTGTCCGGCCCACTGTCGACACTCACTATGTGTCAGAAGTAGCGGGCATTGTTCAGGTACAATGATGCTGACAAACAGAGCCAGTTTTTCAATTTGCCGATCATTAAACTGTTTTTGGTAAAAGATAAGGATACGTTGTTAATGGTCCCTCACTTGTTTTGAGTATGCCAAAAAGTATCATGTCAGTGCATTATGGCATTGGGAATTCTATCTAATGTATCATTTGTGACATTATAATTTGCTTAAGGGTTGATTATAGTATGGTCTCAATTACAATTCAAACTTGTTTAATATTTCTATTTCAAACTTTTCTTCTTAATCAAAAGGCAAAACAATCTTAATAAATCATTGACATTTCTAGAATTCAAAATTGGATTTGACGGGGCAACTTTTGATATTAATTATTTTGATCAATGACCGGATATGCAGTCAATCGGGCTGAANATAGTGAAGGTTAGTAAACTTAATTTAAATTAGAACATAATAGCGTTAACCCATTTGATTTGTCATTAGGTGTAATGTATTAAAGGAGGCGTATGTGTAAAACATGAAATATTTGCATTGTAGCATGTGAACCTGGTTTCTTTGGACTAAATTGTAATATGTCATGTTCTGGTCATTGTGAATGCCAACAGAACAACGGAACGTGCATAGGTACAGTTGACATAGCAATAACGTACAGAACATGTTGTCAAAGTATCCATGACTAAGCTATTAATCATGTTGGAACAGATAGTTTAATGTGTAAGATTCAAATAACGTACTTTAATTGTAAAAGACAAAGAATCATGTATATTTTGCTTCATTTCGTTATCTTCAATTGTAATCAAAATGTTTTACCTAAAATATCTTTATCTTTTAATATTTTATTTTCGCTTCAATAGATTATTTCTAAGAGCTTCACAAATCTGTTTTTAATCCATTCCAATAAAGGTGTTTTTTTATAATATCATGTGATAACCGAACTCATTTTTTTTTTTTGCAATTACACTACTTTAATTTGTATTATTAGCTTGTAACAGTGGATATTTTGGACTTAACTGTGAAGAGAAATGTGGGCAGTGCAGTGCTGTGTCATGCAGCAGGTCTGACGGACAATGCTTATGTAGCGACATGGCACACGGGACATGCGGGTGTAAACATGGCTGGGAAGGAGAGAAGTGCACTACAAGTATTTTGTTTTATTTCGTTTTATTTTTAAAACCAAAACCTGAGGTGATATTTCACTCGGTTAATGTAGATTTTGTTATCAAAGCCAATATAGAAATAACGAAACTAGGATAGTATATGTAATACCTATTTCATATACATTGATCGAAAAGGAGTTGTCATTGCATCAGCACACCTGTGTTTATTTCAGAGAAGGTAATGGAAGTCTAACACGACCAAACAGGAACGTACGCTGGGGCTGGTGTTGGGGCAGTGATTGTGATTGTTCTTGTTGTTATAGCAACTGTCATCATCCTTAGAAGGTATGTATTCATGGTAATTGTACTGTGAAACTTGGTAGATGCTATTTTGATATGTATTGATCGTTAACATTTTGATTTTGTTTCATGTCTGTGTCTTTAGGAAACGATTACCAAAACACAAAAAAGAAAAACACCGTGAAGACAGAGGCAAGACGTTTGCAAATGTAGAGTCTTTACCAATCCCGTTTGAAACGTCAGACACGCAAACAGATAGTGGAGGTAAATGTTGTATATATAAGTTACCACGTATTAATGTCATAATCAAGTAAGGTGTATCTGTATCACTGTTGTTTTATGCAAATGTGGAGGATAGCATTTGACTGGGTAGAACAGTATCTTAGTATTGCAGCAGTAGTAATATATTTTGACTTTTGATTATAAGTCATTGTCGTATTCCAGATATCATCGTATACGTATGTACCATATGCATACCGTGTTAAATAGTGTCATAAAACCATCATGCCGATTATGTTGATGTAACGTGTGTAATATCACTCCGAAAATGAGGTCACAATCGAACAGAAACAATCAATGTGACGTCACGTCATTGTGAAGCGGACGCAATTTTCATCGTTTCAAAGACAGCTAAGCGCTAAATAATCGTTTCAGATCACAATTATACAGTTTACTTTGTATTATATGATAGAAATAATCTGTCATTCGATTCACTTCATATTAGGTTTATGAAACTAATTTTGGATTTTTCAGAGGCTCGCAGACATGAAAAATCCAAAATTTGTATCATAAAACTAATATGAAGGGAAACGAATGACAGATCCTCTGTATATAGCATATACAAATGTAAATAAGATACTTTTTAATATTTGTTAAAAAAATCTTTCCGCGAGTATCCATTTTTTTCTTTAATACATATGATTGATATTTAAGATACCACAAGTGAAGACAGACAGGTTTACGTGAACGTACATGACATTGATAAAAAAACTGATGATGACGTCGTGTACAACAACGTTGACGTCACCGGTGTCCCTATTCATGAACTGCAGTCTATCATCGAAAGCAAAAACGTAAATGAAGCGGCAGCATTTCAAGAGGAATTTCAGGTATGAATGCATGTGT